AGGTTGCTGGTTTGATTCCGGCTTGAATGACTATTGACTATTTAACCTACTGATTGTTCTTGAGATATGTTAAGGAAACTGCTTGAATGCTGTTTAAATATGCTAAGAAAATTGCTGTAGGAAGTATGTGGAAAAGAAAATGTTTACTAAGGACAAGCTGTTTGCTGGTGAATTAACTTAGCTTTTTACAAATTACATTCTGGAATGTCACATTGTTAATTTACTGCTGTTACAAGTTTTACACTGCCTGTTTTTATGTCCTTCCTTGATTATTAAATCAACTGATTTTTCTTGTGAAACTTCCTTTTCTTGCCAATAAAAAGAAAGGCTGATTTTGGATAGGGGCTGCTGCTCCCCTGACAGGTGGCAGTCCCTCCAGGCCTCATTGATGGTACTTTGAGTGAATTCTTTCTTTCTCTTTTTCCCATCTCAGTTACACAGAGGAAAGTGTAACAAAGTTCTCATCACCTAAGCCTCCTGCTCATCTACTCCAGGCATCTACTCTTAGAATTCTAGGGACTGGTAGCACTTCTTGCCTCACAGACGTTCACACAATGTTCCAACCATCCTTCCTTATCCGTTAGCCTGGATTCATACAAAACAAAGGCCTTTTTCTCTCACTCTAGTACATATTATCCCATGGCATATTATGCCATCCCCATATGCCTGGAATTTAGAAAAGTCTTAGGTAAATAATAAACCAAAGAACATTTACTAAATAGAGAAAAATATCTTCTAATACCCTATACATTAGGCAGATTTTAATTATTTACACTTCTGTAAGTATAAAATAGTCATACTAGATTACAAAACACTTAATCCTAGACCTCTCCCCAAATATTTTCCATATTTTGGTACACTGCATATGCAAAATCAATATACAAGAATGAATAAGTTAAAATACACTATAAGTGACATCTACACTCCAATGAAAATATGTATAAGTACAGCAGTGGTAATAGTAATAGGTCTCTCTGGTGGCTGCCTTCAATTTTTAGATGAAGAAGCTCATATTCTACTAACTCTCAAAAACATAAAGAGATTTATCTTAAAGTATATCAATCGTTACAGAGTTTTTCTTTTGATATTTATTAGAAGTATAGGAATTTTCTTTTTACCTTGTGTGAGTTTCATTGATATAAATAACATTCCGCAAACCCAAAGATGGAATACTGGGGTTGAAAAATTTATCCTATATAAAAGAAAATGAATATAGACATAAATACGTAACTGAATAGATGGTGAAGAGTTCATATTACTAGTTCTCGATGACTTATAAAATTCAAGCATAAAGTTAGGAATTGCTTCAAAAATCTAAGTGACAAAGAAAAAATGTTTTACTGAAAAGTACTTTTTAGGCTTCAAAGAAAGTCACAAACTCAAAATTAATCCTTAAAACCTTAAAACCAAATGAAGTAGTACCTCTTCCCTTCCTGCCCAGCTCCACACCTGCACCCCAAAAGAGTTGAGGCAGCACTAGCATAAGTCATTGACAGAAACGTCAAGACATTTGAGTGTTCCCAAAATACTATACTAAGTACCGTGCAGTTATTGTTAAATTTCCCAATAATCTTGACACATAAAAATTATTATCCCCATTTTATAGGTGAAAAAATTGAGGCTGGCTGGGGTTTCGAATTTAATCTCATATATTGCTCCAAACAGTGTGGTCTTTCTATTCCCCTTAAGTGACTGTCCACTTTATGAGAAAATGTACATCTACAGGTCACTCTCTTTACAGGGGATCCTGAAAGATAATCCAGAGATAGCTCTGCTGAAAAGAGAAAGTCTATGGCTTTATCAATATGGGCAAAAAAGGTAGATGTTCCACAAATAGATGCTAAAAAAGAATAGTGTACCCTCAACAAAGGATGTAAAAATATTTAAATAAAATCTCTAGAGAAAAGGAAAAAAGGATTTCAGAGAAAGGACAGCAAATATCACAAAGTTATATAAAAATATTTTCAAGTAAGTTATTTTAAATGAACATGCCAGGGAAGAAATTAAAGATCAAACTCAGCTCTATCAGGTACTATATTTAGCAAAAATCAGTTATCTGTTACACCACCTATCTATCCCCACCCCAAACCATCACCACCACCAAGCAATATCCTATACTCTGTCCTGACTCAAGAACACATTGTAGTTAAGATATTGTTTTGGTCTTTTAAGCATTCAAAATTAGAATTAGGTAAGATGCTAGATCTAAAAAGAAAAGCCACATGACCTTCCATTTAAATCTTTTATTTCCACTGGCCTACTCTGAACTGACCTTACTCCTAAACTAGAAATTTCCATGATCCTTCAATACTACCAAATTCTTGTAACAAAGAACTTGTGGTTTAAAAGAAGCAATATTTATAATGAGACATTCCTGAGCAGACCTGAACATATAACATAAACTGCCTGGGTTCCACACAAACCTCTCCCATGTCAGAAAATCCCTTTATACCAGACTCAGAATTCTACTTCCTGCCAAACTGACCCTTAGTAAAAAATTCACACAGCAATTAGCTATTCACACAAGTTATAAGCACCCTTTATAAATGGCAGGTAGTTAAATGGCAGGATTAAGTATATCCAGATAACTGGCCCATCCCAGAGAGACTTTTTTTTTTTTTTTTTTTTTTGTGACCGGTAAGGGGATCGCAACCCTTGGCTTGGTGTCACCCGCACCGCACTCAGCCAGTGAGCACACTGGCCATCCCTACATAGGATCCGAACCTGCGGCGGGAGTGCCACTGCACTCCCAGCGCTGCACTCTCCCAAGTGAGCCATGGGGTCGGCCCCAGAGAGACCTTAATATTCAGGTATAACAAAGGTATAACAAAAAGACATACCTTTTACAAGGTAACTCTACTGCCTTAGAACACAGGCACGTGAATTCTGTGTTCCTGTGCTAACTTGTTCCTAACTTGTATGCTTCTAATGCCAACTGCCATCAGAAGCATACCTCTCACCCAATCAACACTTCTCAAATAGTACATTGTGTTGTGTTTTTTTCATCAAAATAAAACAATAAACCCACACACACTTTCTTAAATCCTTATCCTAACATTTTAGTGACCATCCTTCACTATCACAAAGTCAACAGACAACTCCCAAAACTAAATTTCAATTTAGCCAAAGCTAAGAGCAAAGTCACAGCTTTACCTTCTTATTCTGTCCATTTTCTCTCTCTCATCTTGCTAGGATTTAAACATTAAGTGCTAAAGTTCAACACCTAGAAGTTACATGAACTCCCACCAACTCTTCAGAAGAGTTAACTGAAAGTAAGATCTACTGTCCTCCTAAAATCATACTAAAACTACAAAAGAACCAGAATATTATCTAGTATCAATTACAGGACCAATACTTACTAAATAAATGAATGGAAAGGAAAATTTAGTCAACTTCTTTACTTGGAATATTTGGTTTATAAACATGGGACTCAGTTCTAAAAATGAATTAAGTCCACTAATATAAATTCTCACAAAGTTGGAAATCATGTCACATATTTCACTCTGTTTATTAAAGGTCAACAAGTAATAACATTCTTACCCAGCTCTGGGGAGTGCAGGAATAACAACATCTTCCAACGAATGGCCTTTTCCGGCTCATGAGGCTTTCTTTCCATTTTAAGGTTGCAGATCTGAAGACAGTAGGTCTAAAACCACACTCATCCTAACAAATATTAAGGAAAAAATCGTGTCTAAATGGCAAGAGAATTACACTTGTCCACTTGATCTCTAAAACTATTTCAGACAGAAGAGAAACTTATGACATGTTCTTCTGGTAGTATAATTATGTATGTCTCACATCGTGATTTTCATTTAAGTACTCCCTCCATAATCAACACTTGTCAAAAAAGCTTGGCACATAAGCAAAAGTTGAGTACCTAAGAATAGTAAGTAATAGCTGGTAATAATTGCTGCACACTCAAGGCATCATTCAAAGGTTTAAAAACTAAGTGGTAAATGGTCAAACGGACTTGTGACAGAGCAAGATAAATAAATTCAGATTCCTGAATCCTTATGCTAACAATTAACCTTACTCCCTTTAAAACACATACTCCCACAGTAGAACTATAAAGGCCTTACACAGTGAGCAAGTTGTTTTACTACAGCTTAAAATAGTTTACTTTAAATAAAAAAACAAGGTAAACTTATATAACATTCCTTTATCTTATCATGAAGAGTTTAAAGGCTGGAATTTTAAATTACAGCTTTGCTGTTCCATTAAGGTCAAACCCTACTCTTCTGTTCTACAACTTTTTCTCTTAACTTTGAGCTCATTAGTTGCTCAAATCTCACAGATTTAACATTCTCAAAAATAAGCAAAAAAAAACCCTTTTTTTTATATATAGCAGGTAGCATTTGAGGTAATATTTAAAACATGCCATGTTATGTTGAAATAGGGAAAACAATACAAGAAAATGCATGCCCTTTGGATTAGATTCATACCATAATTTCATAGTTTTAATTTCTTAAGTTTACTTCCATTACAAAATTCATGCTTATTAAATATAACTTACAGAAGGAAGATAGTGATAGAAAAAAAGTTATTTAAAATTTCACCACCCAAAACAACTGCTAGGGTTTTGTCCCTATGGAAAGTGTTTTGCTTTTTAACATATCACTGTACTTAAATTTTCTACCTAATTTTTTCTTCCCTCTTAATACATAAAATTTTTAAAATTATTAGACTTCATAAATATGTCTTCTAAAAGTTGGAGGCAATTTCTGAAGCTACTAACCTTTACCTGATATTAGGTTGCTGCCAGTGTTTCACCTTCATAAATGACATTGAAATGAACATTTTTTGTTGAATGCTCTTAACTCTTATCTTAAACTTACCCATTCCTCACTTGCATGCTTACATCGACCAACACTGTATTCTGATGAATTCGGCAGATAAGAAACATCTATTGTGCCAAGGGTAAGTGCAGATTCATCCATGTCACAAAGTGTAACTCCCAAATCATGTGCTATAAAAATATATACCATTTAAGTTAGAGAGGAATCCAAAGAATAAATACCAGAACTCGAAATTCTGACTTCTATATTATTTTGATATCCATAATAGAATATCAAATGAACTACTAATGAACTTCTACTAGTTGAGTCAGAGTGTAAAAACTGACTTTGATGATGTGTTTATATGAACTCAGGCTGCCCTGATGAAAAAAAAAAAAAAACATTTGTATCCTAAGACTTCCAGAATACACAAGGATACAACATTTGTATCCTTAGACTTTCTGAATAAAACAGCTATGAAGAGTCATTTGCAAGTATAAATAAGAGCTTATTTTAGGTATGTGACAAAGAATTATTTCATTTTTGTTAATAATTGAGTAGTTCCTGGGAGAATGAATGTGTTTAACATGTGTTTACATGTTACATGTATGCACACAAGTAGATAACTTTTTAAAGTTATGTACTGGTAATTTTCACTCATACATACTTATACAATGTAAAATAAAGCCAGTTAGGACACCTCTAAAGTTTCCCACTTAAACTGAATTAAGTTCTTAATTTTCTTGTGATGCCTCAAAAGAAATGATATTTGCACTTTTAATACACTTCTTTGAAATATCAGATTTATAAGTTTTCATTCTTTTCAATCAGCCTTTTCCCTGCCCTAAGGGAAAATGCTAAGCGTGAACTCCTACAATAGATATTAATCTAAAATACAAATACTTTCTAACAACAATATGTATCTTCAAATTATTTCAGCTTTTGGCTGTTTCTCACCTGGCCTTAAATTATTCCTTTAAAATCCTGAAAGATCAAGTCCAAGTTAACAGTGTTCCTTGGAGGGCATATTCTGATTTCTTTACAATCCCCATATGGTTTTGCTGAGATAAATGTTACCCACGCATAACGAGTATGTCTTCAACAATTTAACATAAGTAACAATCTAACATAATAAATGGGGGGAGAGAAAGCAATGCACCCGGGATGAAAGTTCTGTGTTATAAAACTTCAGCACTCAGCTATCGGTTTCGGGTGCAGAATGTCCATACAACAGGGGGAGCCCGCTGCTGCCTTAGAAAACGAAGTGATGAAGGGATGGGGGGAAGAAAAAGAGATGTGAACCAATAGGAAGTCCACACTCGCTCCCCACCTCTTCTCTCCAGGATCAAAACGTCAAAAAAAAAAAAAAACAAACCTTCCGGAGGCAACCAACAGGCAGAGTGGGCTGAGGGGAGCCGACTGTGAAATCCGAAAGGGACGGAGGCAGATCTGGGGTTTAAATCCCCCATTGTTTACCATCTGTGTGAATCTGGACAAGATAGTTAACTTCTATGCCTCGGTTTCCCCATCTCGAAAACGGGCATAATATGATAGAACCTACCTCCTGGGTTTCTGGGAGGACTCAATAATACGTACAAAGCGCCTAGCACACTCTGCGACACACAGTGAGCGCTCCGTCCAATCAATGGTGGCTGCTGTCACTGTCTCATGCCCAGCACCAGCTGGTCTCGGAGCATCCTCGCTGCCTCAGTGCCTCCCGGGGCTGGCTGGCCGCACGCCCTCGGTGATTAAGGGACTGAGTCCGGAAGGACTCCCTCCTCCCCCGGGGAACCCACGCTGCAGCCTAGCCTCCGAGGGGGAACAACCCCGACCTCCACCCCAGCACGAGCCCGGCCCATTTCTCAGGAGAAACCCCGGAGCTCGGTGGAGGAGGGACAGGAAGACCCGGACCGCCCCGGCAACTTGCAGGAGTCGCGCCAGGTCCAGAGAGAAGGGCCACGACGCACCTGTCCCGGCGCTCCCGGCCCGGGCAGCCTCCCGCAGCCTGCACCGCCCTGGCCGCTAGCACCGGGCAGCTCCGGCTCCAGCTGCGGCATCTGCCCGCACTTGAAGCCTCAGCCAGTGTCTGCGGCAGCGTCGTGCCCTGATGACGCAAGCGGCGCGCGAGAGTGAGCGCGCGGGGGCGGGGCGGGGGCCCCGAAGTCTGGGCGCGCGGCGTGGATGTGAGAGTGGAGTGTGCGCGCGCGCGCGCGTGTGGTCCTAAGTGCCCATTGGGCGAATGCTGCTCATCTGGCTTGTGTCCCCGTCGGGCTTTGTTGATAGTATGTGCACGGACCGTCTGGTTTTATGTGTATATGTGTGGTAAGTCTTTTTTATGAGATTTGTAAAACTATGCAGAATTTATTAAGGATGGGGGAGGCAGGAATTGCAAATGACCGCGTTGTGTCATTTCTCTAAGACAGGCTGAGAGCCTTTTCCTTTAAGGAGGAAAATGAGGAATGAAAAGAGAAGCAAAGCATCCAAAGCCTCAATGACACAGGAGAAACAAGTTTTTTTTCTTTTGAAATATATTGCACAGAGTGGTGAATATAGTAAATAATAATGTATTGTACATTTCAAATGTTCCCACCGCAAAAAAATGATAGGTATTTGAGATGATGGATATGTTAATTAGCTTGAATTATTCCACATTGTATTCATAAATCATAACATCACTTTGTACTCCATAAATATCTACGACTATGATATGTCAATTTACGATTAAAAAAAAATAAATAACAAAGGTTTGAAGGAGTCTGAATCCAAATTTCCCTACCTTTAGCCCTTCAAACAAAATAACACTGGGCAGGAAGAGGTTCTTTCACAATATTTGTCATACCGTTGACAAGGCCAACGATTGTTAAGAGCATTTGCAATTTAGAAGGAAAAACATAACCTTTTACATGCACTCAAGCAACAAGCAGTAAGTATGAACTAGAATCTGGACATACAGATGTGATTAAGACATAGTCCCAGCCCTCAGGCCTCTGCCACCACTCCTTGTCCCTCTTGCACTCACTAACCCTTATCCTCCATTCAAAACGAATCTTCATGCATGTCCACCCCCAATCAAAGACAGTCCACGGCTCCCCGTAATCCATATACTTGAGCCTGGCACATAAGGCCTCCACAGAGAGTACTCTACTTTTCCCTCTCTTCTCCAGCAGGAGCCCTTTACTTCTACCTCTCTTGTTGTCCCTACATAAGCCATGGACACTTACACTCCTAATTCTGCCTTCCCTAGTCTCTCCAGCCCTCAATAACCACGCCCTTCTGTAAAATCTCACAGATTTACTATGGTACCACACCTTGGGTCTTTATCAGTTTGTGTCAGTCTTCCACAAGATTACCAACTCATTATGCTAGTGACTTGCCTCAGTCTTCTAGTTAACACCAAAATGTGTTGCAATAGTAAGCACTCAGTAAATGCCTGCTGAAGCTGAGGAACAACAAGAAAAACAATTCCTTCACTTTAACTTTCTACTTCTGTTTATAAATCCATCCCAAGATGCAAATGTTCTTCTCTTCTGGAACAACCCAAAACAGTAGGAGTGGATATTCATATTTTTAAAAAAGGAAGAAAGATTTTGAGCTTCTTGAGGTCAAAGACCTGGTCTTTATTCAACCCCACACATACCTTAGCAACAAGCACACACCTAAGTATTCAGGGACTGTATGACTAGAATAAGATGAATTCTAATCCCAAAACATTATGAAATTTTGTGTGTAGGTTACTGGTGCCTGACAAAGAAAAGAAAGAGGGGAGAAAATGGAGGAAAGTCTTAGAGTTTGAAGTCACTGCTAAAGAGTATTAAGAAATGAAGTAGAGAGCACCACAGGGATGAAATGAAAGTCAGAGAGAAAAATTAGATTGTCTTACATAAAGTTCATTTGTAGGTAACTCTTGTGTAACACCCATTGCACAAGGGTTAATGTACTTGTAGGAGATGTGAATTGCAATGCCAGGTGTTTCAGGTTACTTAATGAGAATTGTTTTGGAAACAGGTGACACCCTCAGCAATCTGTTTTATCAACAGAGCCACAATAATTTATAGTAATCCAGTCTAGCCAGCCAAGATGGAGCAACAGAACTGAATTTACTCTCCTGCCTAAAACAACTAAAACCAAAAACAAATAGGCAAATATAAAACGTGGCTTTCAAACATTGGACATCACGTAGCAGCTCAGGACAGTGGTCCCTAAGGGAGGGGAAACAAATCAGGTAAGTCCTATGATTGCCTTGATTTACTGCCTAGAGAGAGTTGCCATGCTGAAGTACCAAGAGGGGAAATCTAGGAAGAGCTAGGCAGACTCCCTGAGTTGAGGAGATCAAACTGGAAGACTAGGGCCAAAGCAGCTGGAGCTGGGAGTAGGGTACCAGAGAGAAGAAAGCTACACAGAGAAAGAAGCATCTGTGGAGATCTGCAGAAGACCTTCCTCCATCCTTAGCTAATTAGCTCATGTGTGTGAAGAAGCTACCCAAAGCCAGGGAAAGAATCACATATAAAGAGAAGAGAGAACAATCACCAAAGCTTGCACAGGGCAGGCAATTATTCCTGTTCCCCCAAGCCAGAGTGGAAAGGTGTGCAGTGATCATACAGGACCAGGAATAGTGCCTGATCCTGGCACCCAGACCGGAAAACCTCATAATTCATGACTCAAATGGTCTTGTTTTGGTAGTGGGCAAATTTAGCCCTAGAGTAAATATTGCTCAGGTTCTACCTAACAAATCTTAAAAGCCCACCCAAAAACGATCAAACTGTTTCCAAAAACAAAGTGTCCCATTACAAAGCACAGGAAAACTTATAGGAAATCAAAAATATCCAGCACCCAACAAGGTAAAATTCTCAATGTCTGGCATCTAGTCAGAATGTTCAGGCATGCAAAAAGAAGCACGAAAAAATGACCCATAGTGAGGAGGGGGAAAAAAACAACAACAATCCATTGAAAGAGTCCTAGAAGTGACAGAAATGGTAGAATTAGTAGAAAAGGACAGTAAGAAAGTAATTTTGACTGTATTCAACAGGTTCAAGAAAATAGAGGAAAGAGATTGAGCATGTTTGTTAAGTAGAGACCTGGAAATTCTTTTTAAAAAAATCTCAAGATTATGAAACCATTGTCTGAGATTTTTAACACACACGCACACACACACTTGTATAGGATTAACAGCCGATTGGACATTACTGGGGAAAAAAGAGTAAGGAATTTTAAAACATTGTGATAGAAACTGTCTAAAATGGGGCGGCTGGCCTGTTAGCTCTGTTGGTTAGAGCACAACCTTGTAACATCAAGGTCAAGGCTTTGGTTCCCTGCACCAGCCAGCTGCCAAAAAACAAAAAAGAAAGAAAGAGGGCCGGCCCGGTGGCGCACTGGATAGTGCGCCGCTTGGGAAGCGCGGCGGCGCTCCCGCCCAGGGTTCAGATCCCA